TGGCTGCCCTTGCCCAGTTCGGAAAAGTTTTTCTCTGTATTTCTGGTCATTTCAGGATCTCGCTGGGGACTCAGTCTGAGGTTTGATCCAGCCAGGTAAGTGCTCCCCGCCTTATTTTCTTTTAAATGGGCTGCATTTCAGAATGGATTTCTTGAGCTGTAAATGATAATTTAGCGCTCGTTATAACATTCATTAAGAGCTGCCTTCTGCTGCAGTGTTATTCCAAATACTAATTATTAGAAATTAAGGTGACAAGAGGTAATAATATTCTGAGGTGCATGAGTAGGAGTAATAACAGCCCGGGAGAGATAAGCAAGGCAAAGCAGCAGGAGAATTCCCTTTCAACGGGGAAGTGAGCGGCAATAAAATCCCCCAGGAGCAGGCGTACGGGAGGCATGGCTGCCTGGGCAGAGAGTTTGCGGAGAGGGGCTGGGCAGGGGAGCTGTCGGGGGGAAAGCGACAAAAATAATCCGAGAGGTCATGGGTGTGGGACCATCGGGTCCAAAGTGGCCAGTTTGGGGGCAGTGCTGCCTGGTGGGATCCATTCAGCAAAATGAGCTTGTCTTGACATTAGTTTGTTCGCTTAGTTTATTTTTTTTTTCTCTTTTCAGGCTGAAATTAAATTTTCTGATGATTTCCAACAAAGATGTTTCCGCTGGGTCCAGTATCAGACGCCAGCACGTGTCCTTCCACGGGGCAGGCGTGGGCGCTGGGTAAGCAGTTGTTTCCCGGGCTTTGGGCACAGTTCAGCTATCAACGGGTGGTGGTTCTCCAACTCCTTCGTTACAGCCGAGGTGGAGCAAAACCAACCTCTGAATCCCAGTTTGTGGTGCCGAGTTGGGCCCCGAGAGCCACGATTGTCACTGAAACCTTACGCAGCGTCGCTCGGATGGACACGGGGCAGGACAAATGGCCAGGAAAGCGCCCAAAGCCCTGCAGGGCTGTGTGAGGGACGTGGGTTTTTCCTGTCCCTGGTGAAGAAACAGCCCCAACCAGGAGTAAACCCGTCATAAATTTCATCCTTTCTTGGTGTCCTTACTGCTCCGCTCCACGCTGCAC